TTTCAAGAGACTGCATTTAAATGCTGCTGAAAGGCTGCAGACTGCCAGTCTCCAAAATGCTTCACAGAAGAAATGTGGAGAAGTTTTTTTTTTCCAATCCCTCAATTTATCTGCAGTACTCATACATCTCCCAGGACTGAATATTTAAGCATCTAACAAACTAACAATTATTTCCATAATTCTCCTGCAAAGAAAGGTGCTACTAGCATCCATATCTTCTGCTCCTGCAAGACTATATTCCCGTGACCAGTACTTCATTCAGTCCTCTGAGCTTCCAGGAACTAGAGGTGCAATGACCGAGGCAAAAATCTGACTTAGTTTCACTGGGCATTACTATTATATATCCAATATCCACTGTGATGTTTCTTAGTCCAACATTCTAGACTTCCATTTTGCTTCAAAGATGCTGTGCTATCCCCCAAACTTCTCTGTAGCTCCTGTTTTTCCATTTCTAAACACTTATTCAGCTGTTGAAAATATATATTTTTAAAGTAGATAACTTTTTTGTGCTATACAGAAAACATATTTGAAACTGCAGGAACAGGCATGCTCAGAACGACACAGAGCCCATGAATGAACTGGAACATGGTGATCAGAGTACAGAAGCAAGAACAGAAAGGCAAGCTGTCAGCACAACTCCCCACTCATTCCCAAATACTCAGAGTACAGCTGCCCTGCTGCTGGTCAGCACTATCACACCTTCACCTCCCAGTCCTTTGCTTTGTGCTGCATCCCTGTTTTCACAGGTTAGAGCTGCACTCTGATGGTTTGTATTAAGCAGGTCAATTGAATGCTTACATTGGACATCAACACTCAGCAAACTCTTCTTGGAATCAATAAGGAAAAAAACTCTCCAGAAGACAACTAAGGGCATCTACATTGCACTGCATAGTGGTGCCAGAATTGCCTTCTGCAGGCATTTACTTTAGCACCAACCACAGAGCAAGCATCCAGAGTCCAGGCTCCAGGCACAGATCCAAGACAGAAGATAAAGCACAGAAATATTCCAAGTCCATTTTCCTTGGCCTAACGTTATTAGAAAAGCATCGCCCAATGACTTTTCAGCTACCTAATTTTTAAAGTGTCAAGTAAGATATAAGAAAAACAAATTCAAAGTAGTATTTATCAAGGCTGCAAAACTCGTACCTTTGACAGATATCTTGAGGAACTTCTCACAAGAAAGTCAAAACAATGGCTTTTTCCAGGTAGGCATCTCCTACCATTCAAAAATATTTCGTTTCAGAAAAGAAGGGATTTATTTCTCGTATTTGCTAAGAAGGGTCAACCAACAGTAAGAAACCAAGTGCAGAAATGCAAAAGATAGTGATTTTTCTCTGTCTTTAAGATAACATGTACTTAATAACCCTGACCTGTCTGTTGAAAGGCTCTACATAATATTACAAGACACATACAGCTGAAGAGTATGACACCGGCACCTATGTTTTTAAATAAGGCAATTTATTCATATTTGGCATAGGAAATTGCTAACATTGGGAGAGGAATTTTACAGTATTTTCAGAGAGACAGATGCACTGTAGACTTGAGAGGGTGCAGAATGAAAGACAAATTTCTAGGCAGAGCTGGCTGAGAGATGACTGGGCCTGGTGAAGGATGTGTCACAAATTCTGGCTCTGGCAGAAGGCAGCCTTGCTGGCAACTATGGAAACAAATGACCGGGATGGTATTTCAGTGATGGATCAGCTCTCATTATTTGTTCCAGTGCAAAAAAAGATATGCAAAGGGTTGTCATCCAGAATAGTACGTGGCAAATTCCAAGTGTTTGAGAGAATTAGGACAGAAAATCCCCAGAACATCTAAAATCCACTCTGGAAATGTTGAACTTCTCAGGTCAAATTACACTAGGCATAAGAAATCACTTGGGAAGTCGCATCTGTAAACAAAGTTCAGCTTTCCATAACGGGACTGAAATTCTCACCAGAACAGCCTAAGTACTGTTTGTGTAGTCCCCTATCTGCCACAGTAACTAATGCTGAACAGAGCAGTGGAGGCTTGCAATTCTGCTGGAGTGCTGGGCAGCTTAGAACTGTGCAGATCAGTCAGACCAGTCTCCAGCAGATCACTCAGCCAACAGTGATCAAGACAGACCGATTGGCAAACAATATAGAAGGTGAATTTATATGTCAGTGCTTGGGGTATCTCAAATCTAGAGACAGACTGACTAAGACAGCATTTAGCAAAAGCACCCCTTGCAAGTACTATAGCACAGTCCTAGCTTTTCTGATATAAACTGATAAAACGCAATCATATTTTGCTGCTGTATCTCACGTCTCAGCAGCATGAACTCACCTCAGCTAAAGAATTATTTATGCTTATTATGAGAAAATACTATAGATAGCTACTTTCTCCCTCCTAAGTAGTCTAAAATTCAGTCTGTAGGTCAGGAAATGCACTCTCCAGATTCCTCTCAAAGCTGTTTCCTTAAAGAGCGAAGACTTTCCTGTCTTCCCTCACCAGATTGTCTGTGGATGTCCTATACACAAACCTAGCCAATCAAACAGTCAGATCTGACACCTGTGGAAAACTGAAATACAAATGTTAAATGACTTCCCAAAGTCAGTGGCAGAGATGGAGTGAAATAACATTATCTAATTGCTATGAAACGCTACATTGGAAAAGCAAAGATACTACCCAAAGCATGTCTCTGCTACTTGCTCAGTTATACAAATGACTTGTCCAACATAACCCAAGGTGCCAGCAACAAAAGCACAGTGGGCACTCAGGTCTTCCAAGCCCCAATACAGAAACCATCCCCTAAGTTTTATTACTCGAGTTCCTCTTCAGCTCCCATTACTGCAAGCAAATGAAAATCTTTACTTTCTCCCTCACTGTCCCTATATTCATCACAATGTAGCTGCTTTATACTAGAAAAAAATGGAACACAGAGCTGTGAACAGTCAACGCTGACTCTAATGGCATCAAAAATAACATCAGCATTCACAAATAAACACCCTGGAGGCCACAAAATAGCAACATTTTTGCCATTCTCTCTCTAGGCAGCTTCCCTACACTACTCAGATGAAATATGTACTTCCCGATCCAGTCACTTCCCTTCTGCATGCAGGTCCCATCTCAAGACACAGCAAAGCAAATGTTTGTGCCGGCAGACCCAGCTAACAGCTCCAGTCCTAAAGGTCTGCTAGGGTTGGATGTAATTCTGGTCTAGGCTCCAGTGGATGGGAAGTGCTGATGTTGACCCAAGAAACACTGAGGAAAGGACACACTCATCCACGAGAAGCAAAGCTGGAAAATTATTTTGTAAAAACAAAGGGCTGGGACAAATGGCACATTAGCTGTTACACATCTTGCAGCTTTTTAATATTCGAAATCTGCCTGCACAACGTCTTCCACTTTTATCTGCAATCAGTGACATTAAGCTTCATTTTATTCGGATGCCAGTGGGTTTGCAAGGACACAGCACCGCCACATCACAAGTGCTCCCACATCGAGCGCAGCAACAGCCAGGTACGGCCAGCAAAAAAAATAATAATAATGAAAGAAAAGCCAGGAGTCATAGCTAAGCCGCCCTTGCTTTGTACGGCCGAACGGCACTCCGCACAGCCCACCGCCTGCACTCAGGGCCGCCGCCATCCCGGCTCGCACCGACGGCCGGGAGCCGCAGCCGCGCCCCGCAGCGCCCAGCCCTGCGCGGGGCCGCGCCGCCACCTGGTGGGGACGTGCGGGGCTGCCTCTGCAAGCACGGCGGGGGGCGAGGGAACGGAGAAACGCCGCCCAGGGGGAGTTTGAGTTTCAGTACGAAATGCAGCGCAGGCATTCAAGACAGACTGTACCTGATGAAGAAGTTGGAGAGCTCTTCTCTAAGCCTTTCGAAGAATACATTTGATTGTGTAAAGTTACTGTTAACTGTATCTCTACTCTATATGAAAGCACTAGATACAATTCTAAAAGATAAAAAACGAGGCAGAATGCCCCAAAACCTTTAAAACCTCACATCAGATCCACTGGGCAAGTGATTGTCTTGAAACAAAAAAAGCTCATGGTTTATACTTTCCATTTAACAACTTTTCCCTCACTGAATCATGCAGTCATTGAGGTGGGAAAGCCCAATAAGATTATTCAGTCCAACCACCAACCCATGTGACCATTTCAGATCATGCCACTCAGTACCACATTCACCTTTTTCTTCGATACCCCCAGGGGCAATGGCTTCACCAATTCAGCAGTCCGTTCCAGTGCATTACCATTCTTTCTGTGAATAGGTTTTTCTAATATCCAACTTGAATCTCGCCCAGTGCAACTTGAGGACATTCCCTCTCTTTCACAATTCAAGAATTTCCACATTAGTCTGAGCCAATTATATTGTACAGTTGGGGGTTTTCCTACAGTGTTTTTTTATCTGTATCTGGCCTTTGTTCAGTAGGTATCTCTGTCATACTAGAATGTGATGGAAAGTACAGCAGTAATAGCAGATGGGAACAATTCCACCTGCAGCAAATGAGAACAAGCCCAAATGCTACAGGCATGGACACAAAAACAAAGGAAGAAAAATTGCTTACCTTTGGAAAGCCTCCATTAGATAGAGATCTCCAGTGATATACCTTCATCTCCTCTGCCAACCCTTAGATAAGGTCTGTAAGGGGTGGATCATGGTTCCACCCCTTTCCATCACTCAGATGCATTGCATGCACCTGAGCTCCCCTGGGCTGGCCCTGCCTTCCACCAGGTGCTCAATCACCACTTCAGGCCATGACTCAGCATTTCCACTACACTCTATTTTCTCATCTTCAGTGATTTCAAAGTCCTGGCCACTGAAGTCTCTGCGTACATTTCTCTATATTAAGTTTTCGCTATAGGTTATTCTGTGAAGTTACTTGTTTTCAAGCTTGGATTTCTGTATTTCTACATAGCAGCTAACAAGCACACAATAGTCACCACCATGCAGTTTTCTGAACACCTGATGAAAACTTTCATTACAAGTAACTTTAGAGAAAGTAAGTAAGTACATGCAACTAGCACCATACCTTGTCATTTTTCTGTAGTACTGTGATTTCCATACTAGCATCAACCTCAGTAGTTCCTCACATCAGTGCAGGCTCTCTGATAATTAAAGTAGCCCTGTAAAACATCACAGAAAAGCAAGAAAAGGTTTGAATTCCTTTTGCTAATACAAAGTCAAAAAACACACTAGAAATTAGGCTGCCAACAGTAGCCTTTAATCTACTGGCAATCACAAGTACACAGGAAGCAGATGAGTATCTAAGACACTCCCCTAAGGCTGAATAAGAAACTACTAATTTTTTTACTTAAAATCAAGCAAACTAACTAGATTAAAAACAAACAAGAAATAACAGAAGACACTATCTGTAACTATCTCACATTAGAGCCCCTGGAGGAAAAGGTAGACCACACAAATCCTTATAGAAATTAGACAGACCAATATATTGGGAAAGACACTACAACAGAAATGCAATGATGGAAGGACCAGCACAATGTAAAGGCACTATAAAGGAAAGGAAAACAATTACTCACCTGTAACAGAGGATTCCAGGTTTGTAGGAGAAAACTTCACCAAGAAGAGACCTCCAGAAAGAAATCCTTCCCACTGGCAATCAGCCCTTAAATGGGGTCTAAGAGAGGTGCAGCCAGGCTCCACCCCTTCTGGTCACACAACTGAATTGCCTTCACCTGTGCTCCCAGGGCTGACCCGGTCCTTTCCCCAGGTGCTCAATCAGTGGTTCAGGCCATGACTCAACAGTTATCATACAGTCCTGAAAAACACAGATAACCAACAGACAACTAAAGTGCTGGCAACATGACCATGAGAAATGGCAAAGGGGAAGTTCCATGAACACAGTGAAAGCTGGAGACGCAGACCTGATGTTCCAAGCAGGAAAAGAGACTTCCATCCTTTGATCCCAAGAGATTCAGAAAATCAGTCTTGCTATTCTCTTTTTCCTAATTAAGATTGACTACATGAAACGCACATCAAATTCAGTGACTGACTTTTCCCTTGGTAAAAATAAATGAAAGGCTGTCCTAATTTCTTAGGCTCAACAGAAAATTATTCTTTTAACAATGGGGAAAAAAAAATAAAAAATCAGTTCTAAGTCCATGAAAGAAATCAGATAAAATTATATCCTGATATTGGAAATCAATTAAATTCTAAATATTTTATTTTACCTGTAATGCAATGCAAGATTTTTAATGCAATGGAAGTTTTTTTTGCCTTTCAACAAGAAATGATGTTTTTTTCCAGTAACACAAGCAAGATGAGGTGATAGCTACTGATATAGAAATTATATATGAAAATGCAGCTGGCATAACAGCACATGCAAAAATAATGATTCAGTCACATGTAAGAACTGTAAAGAGAAATCATACAAAAGCAGGGCTAGAAGGTCAATTACATTCATTGTCAAAATCAGATACGGGGAAGCCAAGCAAAGGAAAGTGGAAAATCAGAAGGTATCACATTGATCCACATTCAAGTGACATTGCATCCTTTGTTTCTCCTGCAGGCAGGCAGATCTCACTGTGATGGGGTGATACACAAACATCTTATGGCTGTGCAGAGATGAACACCAAGTTTTCAACTACGGGCACTATCACTATGTGCCACCGATAACCACTCTCCCCTAACAGTAAACTGATCGTTTGTGAAAGAATATTAATTATGAAGATCACTACTTTTCACTAGTCACAGCAAGGAAAAAGAAGAAAAAGTAGCTTGGACACCTTTGCGTGATGCCCAATGGGTTTTTTTACTTCTTAGATGACAAGATTTATACAGTTTTTGCATCAGGAGGTCTCTGCACTGATCTCTGACTCCTGAGGTAGAAGCTACCCATCCTGCCTCATTACGTGCACTCACCAGCATGGTGCTCAGCAGCCTGATATCAGTTTATTGAAAGAAGGGTGTCATAGCTGCCAGTTTCAGAGCACAACTGCAGCTCCATATTAAGCTGCCCAGTTTTAAAGGTGGAAACGCAAACAGATCGTAAAATGCCTTGCTCAGTGTGCAGCTGACCATGCCACGTCAAGCAGCAAAGCTACTTGATGCAAACAAAAGTAAGATGGAGCGTCTACTTTCTAACAAGCACTCCTCACACATTAGACTTCACAATGACACATCAAAGCTCCAGGAGCAGAAACATCCTAAAGCCTTATGCAGTTTAACCCAGACACACCCATAGGAAAGGAAGGAGGGATGGTGAAAGCCTGCAAGCAGGAGAGCCGGTTTTTACTGGTAAGCACACCAGGAAATGCTTTTATGAACAGATAAAGCCAGCCTATGTTCCTATGCACTCTCTAGCGTAGCTTTGACACGTTCCCCAGTTAGATAAGAAAGGAAATGGGGCACATGGGGAGAGAGCATTTTTGTTTTATTGTGCTGCTCCCAATAGGCTCAAGAGCTGATTGCCAGAGATTGACCTGGAAGTCCTTCCTGACTGATGACATTAATCCATCAGCTAATGAAGTGGACAGGACTCTAAAGCCCTGCAAACTTTTGTGTTCTATAGCACAGGGCTTAGCTGCTGTAAAAGAGCCGGAAACCAAAAGGCAAACATTTCAAAGACACTTGAAGCTCTCACTGTTTATCGGACATTAAAAACTGCAGTGAAAAAGTTCTGAACGGAGACAGTCACACATTTGTTATTTATGATACAAGGGCGGGGGCAAGATAAGGGGAGCGCCAGCGCAGCCTCGACTCCTGACCGCATGCCGAGTACGAGCGCGCAAGGCAGACCCCGCCCAAACGGCGCAGCCCCGAGGCCGCCCTCCGGCCACACCGCCCGCCAGCACGGCTCTCGCTCTGACAGACAGGAGTTAAGAGCGGCGCCAGCCAATGAGAGAGCGGACGAGCACGGAGGCGGAGCGTGCGAGGATCCAATGGAAGAACTGCCCGGCCCCGAGAGGGTGGGAACAAAGTTAAGCTGCAGTCACCGGCGGCGTGCTCTACCCCAATCGGAGCGTCGGCCCCGATCGCTCTGTCCGGATTGGTTAACGGATGGCAGGCGGGCCTTAGCTCCTTCTTTTCCCCAATAGGAAGGCGGCGGAGCGTGATAGGCGTTTCGATTAGCCAATTGTCGTGGGCTCGATCTCGTACCCCTTTCTCTTCGCAAAATGGCGGCTCCGGCTCCGGCTGCGGCCGCGGCCCCTCCCGCGGCCGCCCCGGCTCCCAGCCCGACCGCCGCTCCCTCTACACCGACGGCGGGCGCGCCCCCCTCTGCCGCGCCCCCTCCGCCCGCCGCCCCAGCGGCACCGCCACCCTCCGCGCCGCTGTCCGCCGCGCTCTCGGGTCCCTTCCCCGGCGGCCGCGTGGTGCGGCTGCACCCGGTCGTGCTCGCCTCCATCGTGGACAGCTTCGAGCGGCGCAACGAGGGCGCGGCGCGGGTCATCGGGACGCTGCTGGGTAAGAGCCGCGGAGCCGGGGGCGAGCAGCACGCCGCCCCCACGCCGCCCCGCTAACCGCTGTCGTCCCCGCAGGCACTGTGGACAAGCACTCGGTGGAGGTCACTAACTGCTTCTCTGTCCCGCACAACGAGTCCGAGGATGAGGTACGGCCACGCGGCACGGCGAGGTGGGGGCCGGGGCTCTGGAGTAGGCTGTCCCGGTGGGGCTTCGTCCTGCATTGCCCTCCGCCCGGGTGTCGGCGCTCCTGCACCCTCTGACTCTGCTCTGTCCCCTTTCCCAGGTGGCTGTTGATATGGAGTTTGCCAAAAACATGTACGAGTTGCACAAAAAGGTGTCTCCCAGCGAGATCATCTTGGGCTGGTAAGTTCTCCATCTACAAAAAAGTTCGGGCAGTCATGTAGGTCCCTCAATATACCTGAGCTACATGGCTGTTGTCACAGGCTGAGAAATGGAATCAGCAGTGAGGTCTTGCAACTCTTGTTACAGTTCTAAAAGTGCTGTCATTCAGGATAGGAAGAGATGCTACTGCAGATTTAAGAGCAATTTTGGTTTTCTAGAAGAGCTATCACAGACAAGAGGGTTAGGGAATGCTTACATGGATCTATTTGAATGTAGCTTGTTTGAATGTTTGAATCTGTTTGAATGTATTTTACAATCTGTAAAATAAATGACCTAAGGGAGAAAACAAAAGTACCAAAGGCCTGGTGGGAAATCAGTCGTGTTAGCCTGAGCACGCAGGTATTCTCTGAGGAAAGATGGAAGACTTGTGCTGGGGTATTATAGGAAAAGAACTCATCTGTGCATGGATAGCTGGCTTTGTATGTCTTTTGGCATCCTCTCCAACCCTTTTCTGTAGAACAAAATCCTGCAAGCACTCTTTGCTTCCTTGACAACCTCTAATGGTATAGCAAAGTGCAGTTCTCATGACAGTCACTTTCTTATGCGTGCAGGAAGTTAATTGCAGAGCAATTGAAGGAGCTAGATGAACAAGCCCTGCTTCCTGCACAGAGATGTTTCATTTGTTTCTATTTGTTTTCTACATCTACTTTGCTGGTCCAAATTTGCTTGGCATGCTTTGATTTACAAGGAAATAAAGATTTGGTCCAGATCATAATGACAAGAAAACTGACTGTTGGGTGTCTGATGGCAGCTGTCCTTTGTGACTGTAGTATAACACTGGCCCTATGCATGTTTTGGGCATGTGTGTTCTCAGCCTATGATTTTAGGAGAGCCATAAGACTACACATGCCCTAGTCAAAATACTAGTCTTTACTATGCGTCTGCAGCTCAGTGCTTAGACATTAGAGTTTTAGAATACAAACCTGTTAAATATCAACAAATGCTGGGCATTTGAACATTAGAAGAATGCTCTTTCAACATTTGCTTTATTCAAGGTATGCAACAGGTCACGACATCACAGAACATTCTGTCCTGATCCACGAGTACTACAGCCGGGAAGCGCACAATCCAATCCACCTCACTGTGGACACAAGTCTCCAGAATTCACGCATGAGCATTAAAGCCTATGTCAGGTAATCTGGGACAGGGACTGTCTGATTTACTAACAGACATCATATTAGGATAACAAGGAATGTAGCAGACTATAGTTTTGGACAGTATTGTGCAATAGCTGAACCACAACTGTGAGCCAGAGGTCAGAGCATTCTTCCTACCAGAATGTCTTGACCATTGCACATAAGTTGAAAGCCTTAACCTTTCATAAGTTGGTTTCTCACTGGGGGTGAGGAACTGGCTTAGTTAACCTCAGCAGTGTTCAGAACATCTTTGCAATGCTTCACGGGAATAGCATAACTAGCATCAATGTTATATTAACTTCCATCATACTGTCTGAATGCTAGTCTTTACTCACTGCATCTTAGTGCTCAGCAATTTACTTATACAAGTTGTACTACTAGCACCCTCAGAACTTAATTGAAAGAGCGTCTTCTTGGTCAGTCTTTCTTCCCCTCCTCCACTTCCATTTTTATTAATTGATAATGGCGATAAAATATGGAGAAATGAAACTACTCTGCTTCACCTCACTGTTCTTCCCAGTGGCTGCTGAATAGTTCTCCTCCTTCCAGGATAAAGCCCCACTCTTTGTAGCAGAAATCATGCTGCTTCCTGACCGTGCATCTTCAAAATGGAAGCTGTTCTGTGACATCTTGTATGCTGAAAGCATAAATGAACTTCAGATAGAATCATTTGATTTACAGAGGACCTCAAGGTCCTCTTGGATGACCTCCTCATGTCATCAAGTCCAGCTCCCTGGTAATGAATGGTGGCACATACAGCTTGATCATGCTGCTCAGAGCCCTATCCAGCCTGACCTTGGATGTCCCCAGGGGTGGGGCATCCATCACCTCTCTGGGCAATCTACACCAGTGCCTCACCACCCTTATTTTAAAAAATGTCATCTTTTTGTCCAATCTAAATCTCCCCTCCTTTAGTTTGAAACCATTTCCCCTGGTCCTATCACAACAGATTCTGCTAAAGAATCTGCCCCCTTCCCTCATATAGCTCCCCTTTACATATTGAAAAGCTGCTTTCAGGTCTCCCCAGAGCCTTCCCTTCTTCAGGCTGAACAACCGCAGCTCTCTCAACCTGTCCTCATAGGAAAAGTGTTTCATCCCTTGGATCATTTTTGTGGCCCTGCTCTGGATGCATTCTAATAGGTCCATGTCTATCCTGTGCTGAGGACTCCACATTTGGATGCAGACTCCAGGTGAGGCCTCACCTGAGCAGAGGGGCAGGATCACTTCCCTCTCCCTGCTGGCCACACTTCTTTTGATGCAGCCCAGGATACGGTTGGCTCTCTGGACAGTGAGGCACATTGCTGGCTTGTGTCCAGCTTACCATCCACCAGTTCCTCCAGATCATTTTTGGCAGGACTGTGCTCCGTCCTTACATCTCCCAGGTTCTAGTGATAGCAGGGGTTGTCACGACCTGGGTGTAAGACTTTGCACTTGGATTTATTAAACCTCATGAAGTTTACCTGGGCCCACTGCTTGAGCCTGTCTAGGTCTCTATGAATGGCATTCCATCTCTCGGGCATGTCAGCCACACCAAGAAGACAGTACTCAACTCGTCATGCACTCATGCTGATAAATGTCAGACCAGCTAGGAGTACTTTTGGATGAAAATTTGTAGTTAATAATATGCCTGTATTGATTTCCTATCCTCGGTTATACATGGTCTTAATATTGCTGATTTTAGTGAGAATGAGTAACCTACTCATGTTCACACTCTCATGCTAATAGAGATCATTGAGATGGAAAGAAATTATTTATTTCCTTTCAGATATGTCCATGCTGAATTTATGTATTGTTTTCCTAGTGCCCCAATGGGAGTCCCTGGTAAAACTATGGGCGTGATGTTCACACCACTGACAGTGAAGTACGTTTATTACGACACAGAGCGGATAGGAGGTGAATGCTTTCTTCCTATTATGGTTCTAACTATTGTGACGCTGTTCAAATGCTGTTTGTTTATTAATCCTGGTAAAATTACCACTCTGTGGGTGTCTCACTGTCTCACTGAAACTAATGCTATCCTAAAAAGGCTTCAATAAGTTAAAGTTTTAAGCTGCTTTCTGTGTCAGTCAGATTTCTCAGTGATCCTTGTTTTGCTTTCAGTGGATCTCATAATGAAGACCTGCTTTAGCCCTAATCGAGTGATTGGCTTGTCCAGTGACTTACAGCAGGTGGGGTCAGCCTCAGCCAGGATTCAGGACACCCTGGGTATGGTGCTACAGTATGCAGAGGATGTATTGGTAAGGCAAACTTTTTATGAGACTGAAGTTTGATGTAAGATTATGCATCTTGTTGTTATGGGGTATTTTTTGCTGAGTTTTACTCATGCTGAAGTGTGTTTCTTATGCATAGTCTGGCAAAGTGGCTGCTGACAACACCGTGGGGCGTTTTCTGATGGATCTTATTAACCAGGTGCCAAAGATTTCACCAGAGGACTTTGAGACCATGTTGAACAGCAATATTAATGTAAGTTAATTGTCTTCTTTCTAAGTGTATTACCAGCAGTTTTGAAAATGTCATACAGACACAATTTTGTTTACGAAAAAAACTACCTTTTCATACCAACATGGTCATAAAAAACACAGCCCATTCCTGTCTCTTATGTTTTAAGAGCTGAAGGTGGGTAAGAGAGCTCACCATAATTAAAAACAATGGAAAATAAGAGAATTACTTTAAAAGCACATATGAATTTTGCAAGTAATCTGAAAGGCAGCACAGATTCTTCTTTTAGAGTGCTGGGAAAATATGAATTATCACGCTTCATGCAGTATAGGTTTTAAGGATAACTAGTGACTTTCCCTGCTTTCTTTGCCTGACATGAAGTTCTGTCTCATGGCAAAACACATAAGAGCACGAGCAAGGTTTCACTGTGCTACCTTATTTCCGTAACAAATTTTTAGAGAGCTAGTTTTCTGAATCTGTTATTTGCCCATAGTCTGCAGGACCACAACTAATTTTTAATTTTGCTTACACCCTTTGACTCTCCTGGTTAATACTGGTGGACTCGAAGTTAAAATTTCACAAGTGCTGTTTCATGTTCCAGGAATACCAACGTTTTTCTCCTGTGAGGGAAGCATTCCTCAGGGTAGGACTTTCAGGACTAGCAATAGTTCCGGTAGCTGATTGTAAAATGCTTTACAGGCGTTAAAAATTCACATCTCCACAACAGGCTGTCATCTTTGGTAATATTTCTGATGACTGTTTTTTTTCTTTTTTTCTCTCAGGACCTTCTGATGGTAACCTACTTGGCAAACCTCACGCAGTCACAGATTGCTCTCAATGAAAAACTTCTGAGTTTATAAAGAAACTTCTGCCACCTTACACTTCAAAGAGCCTCAAGAGTGAGCAGATACACACTTTTCATGGTGATGTTACAAATTCCCTTGGACCTTAACTTAATTACCTAAACAATTTGGTTTACATCTTCATTTCTGCTTCCCTGGAAAATCCCTGACGTGGTTTAGGAAATGAATAGGAACTCCTGCAGTTTGGATGAGCCCAGTATTTTAAAATGGAATAAGTGAATCTTTTGTCTTCTGGGTTTATCTGTTTGTGTAACAAAATACAGCTTTAATGTAAGAAATTATTTGAAATAAAGTTCAATTGTATTGGCAAGAATACCTTCTGTCCAGAAGAAGACTGTTCTCATTTATTGTATAATGAATCCTCCTTTGAAAGAATCAGGAAAGAAAACTAGAGTGGATGCAAATAATCTCAAATTTGGCAGCTTTCTCTGCGTTTTTCCCAAAAGTTTTAAAGCACACAGGTCGTGGCACCTTGCATTGCACATAGTACACTTTTCCATGGGGGAACTACAGAATGGCCACTGGCCTATAACTGGTGTTGTGTGTATGGCCTTCTCCGATGAGGTATGAGGCAGTGAATTCCATTTACACTGTGGTATTTGTTCTATGCATATCTGATCCTTTGGGAAAGGAAATAGAATGGAATTCCACCATCGTGAAGAGGGGGTTCAGAGTATTAAACTAGCAGCTAAATGTTCAGAGTATTAAACTAGCAGCTAAATGTGTGGTTGAAAGGGCTTGAAAAGCATTCCTCCTGAAGTTTTCGTGTTTGCAAAAGAAGAAAAATTTCAGTAAATTTTTGAGATTAAAATTTAGATATTATCAAATAGGGATTTTCTGTTTCATAATGACTTTCAGCTGAAGGAAAGCCAGTTCAAATTGCAACTTTTTACAGTCTCAGCTAGTAATATTACCTTTGGACGTCTGTTCAGCTGTACTAAAGTTTTCCCTAATGCTAGCAGTATCACTCCTGCATCATTCATGCTTATGTTCTAATGACCATTTCTGACACTTTCACACACATCTGTTTCAGTAAATGAACTGAAAATGTCATAGAGAAGCCAGCAAAGTCAGCATTCCTCCTAAATACCTTTGTGCAAGATTTGCCAGATAATCCAAGAATGAGAGACAGCTCACATCTCTTTAAATCCTGTCCTCGTGGTTCCAATGCAGGGAATTCCATGAACCGTTCAGCACTAAATTCTAAGTTCTGATCACAAGGGCAAGGTGCATAAAGACTGAAGGCACAGCAAAGACTTCATTTCTGAAAGTTATCTGTGAGCATTAAACATGTTTATGCTCAGCTCCTTTGTACTTCTCTAATGCTTTGTTTCCCCTTCTTTAAACTCAATATTTGAGCTTTAGCTGATTAACTTACATTTTCAGGTCACGTTCTGTTTAAAATAAGCCTTGAAATAGGTGGAGGAAAAGACTGAGCAGCAAAGCTAGATGAGCCTTTCTTAACCACTGCAATAAGCAGAGGGAAGAAAAGCTTAATATTCTTCCCCTCATTTCTTCATTTTGTAATAAATCCTTGCTAATCTCAGGACATTAATATGTGAGAAGAAAGATCTGATGTAGAAAGATTAAAAGTTAAATAGTCTAGGAAGCTGCTTTGCACAAAATGCAGTGTTTGAGAACATCAATTTGTGATCATGATTACAGAAAATGTATTGTGCAGTTAATCAGTCCTGATAAATACTGAAGACTAACGATGAAGCACTACTGGAGGTTATGTCTTCCTGAGCAGAAAGATGTACTGCAAAGTAGAGGTATCAGAAAAGCCCACAGTCCAAAGGCTGACTTGTATGGTAGACAGTACAGTAACAAGCAGAACAAATTGGAGTAGAAAAATAAAGGCTGCCCTCAAAAACTGTGTGTTTGATTCCATCCATGCTGGCACTGGGTGAATGGTACATTGTAAACATTGCTCTGACACAAGAATTTTCAAGTTTCCATGACCACCCTTGTGAAGGACAGTGTTGCAAGCAAATTGTAGCATAATGTATCATTTTGCTTGGCTAAAAAGTAAAGCCTAGGCTGTATCATTATTAGGAGGCTGAAGAAAGAAGCATTTGGAGTTTGAAAATGTAGACAGGAAATCCTAAAGGCCTTCTATCGCTCCACTTTATTGGATCTCATATCTAAAAATTTGAAATTGCTTAGGAAATCTGTTGGGGAAAGCTTGGGAGTTGAGAAACATCACCAAGGATTTCAAGCTCTGATTTGCTGTTATTTGTACATCACTGAGGTCTTGGATCTATTAGGGGACTTTCTCCTTCTTTTTTGTTTGTTTAGGGTTCAATACTCCAAACAGCTTTGACAAAGTTTAACTTTTAAGAGTCTGACTTAATCATTTTTTAAATAGTCCAGATAGTTCTCCAGGTATGCTTCTATATACAGCATGTATTGTATTTAATTATGTTAACGCCCTCATAGCTTAGACAGAGCTGATCCTGAGTTGTTACCTGAGCATGAACTTCTCCCTGAAAACATGTTTTCCTCAATATATATAACATTCAGAGCAGAGTTTACAGTTACAACCGATTCCCTTGTTCTCTTTGGGTATACTGTGTGCTTAGAAAAGTTAGAGAAATACATAAAATCAGCCCACCTTGCTGTGTCAGGCCTTCTCAGAGACAGAATCCAAGTCAGCTGCAACATAGGGATGGAGTTTCTCCAAAGCGTCTCTCAGCAGTATGATGAAGCAAGGCAACCTTGTGTTCACCTCGTTTCTGATGAGCATGGATGGTAACCTGTGGCACCCTGCAGTTTAACAAGCACAATGACATTATGATTTGCTCTGACTGATTCCTAGTGTAATAAAACTGCTTGTTTGCCTCTTTGAGCAAGAGAGTATTAGCTCCACAAGCACATGAGAGTACTCTGTGTTGCTAATCAAAACCAATACTTGCAGCATGAACTTTGTTAAATAGAAATACCTTCCTAAAAATTGAAGGAACATTTCTTCACTGATTACACTTTCAACAATAGGACCTCAGGCGTTGTACCACAATGAAAATTGGAGGTATGTGACTAATTAGCTTCCTTGTGTGCTCTGTTGTGCTGTAAAGCTTGCAAACTATATGAAGGTGATTCTTCAGGAGAAGCTTTTGGATAGGCGGTGTGCAACAGCCAGGTTTCTTATGACTCTGTAAAGTGCTTGGGACTGATGATGCACAACAGAACAATTCTGGTAATGATGGTGACTGTAGGATTAGATTAAGGTCCAAAGAGAGCCCTTGCAGACTGCATTGTGCTAGTGTTAATTCGCTGGCTAAGCTAAAAAGCAATTAAAATTTCACATTCTAAATTCATGTGACTGAACAAAGCAGTTAATACTATGTGGTGTTTCTCTGGGTACTGGAAGAAGTTTGTCTTTCTTGTTTGGGTACACTTAACAGCCACTGTGTTGTTGCCATCTTCTCTGGTTCCCTGTGTCCACTAACTTTACCTTAGGAGAAGCTTCCTGAAACACAGTTCCAATTCTTTCCTATCTTGACAAACCACATCTTAAAATCTTTTTAAATACACCTAAATATATCTCCTTTGTCCTTACTGAAGTTTGTTTCATGTTCTTCCTGGTATTTATACACTGTACAGCATCATACAACAGCCTTCATTTTGCTACGCTAAACATAATACGCTACATCTTCTGCTGTGATCTATGATCACCTAGCTGCCCATTTTTAACTTAATTTCAGTCTTTCTACTTGATACAGACTTGTATCAGTGTGTAGATGAATGGATGTAAGAATGCACTAATGCTTTCCCGTTATAAATTCCTTGTTTGCCTCTTGGTGTCTGTCATTTACTGTGACTGAGCACTGTCCTAATCACCTGTCCTAATCACTGTTGTCATTTGAACTCTAAGTTACTACTGAAATTGATAATTTCAATGCATGACCTGGTATTGCGACAGCTTTTAATTAGAAAATCTAGATGTTATGATCATCTCCCTGTTTCTCCTGGTTTGGATTGCTCTCAGTGCTGATGACACTTCAGTTTCATCAGTAGGTATCATTAGCTTGTTCCCAACTTTCGTGCCATTCACAGTTAAGAAGAAATTTGGAACTAATCCAGGCCAACTTAGCTGAATTCTACAAACACCCTTTTCAACAAAGCTTTTGTGTTTACTTCCAAGTTCTTTAGCCTTGGCCATGCTAGTTTGCGTCTTCTCTATTTTAACTGTGGTTCTTGTCACATTCCCTGTGAATATCCAAGTGTCATCCTGATCCACTGTGTCCTGAAATTCACCTTTGACATGAGCAACATCTTTTTGTTTGGCTTAAGCCTTGGAAAATGGAAATAAGACTAAATTTTCAGTGTTGCTGAAAATAACAAACAACATTTGCTGTTTGCGATTGGAAACTTAAAATCCTTGCTGCTAGAATTACAATTTCATTTGCTGATTATTTCAGAATGCTGGGATGAAGGTCACTAATTCTGCACTGTCAGCTGAGTCAATTAAGTTTCTTGGCAGAACACTTAAGTTTGCTGTAAAGAGGAAGTAATGTTTTAGTGTAAGATTTTGTGAACATGCCATCTATTAGTAACAAATCTGGAATGGGCGGTTTTAATCTTCAGGATTTAAATGTCAGTGAAGAAAACTTGGACACGCTGCTCTTTCAAGTACTCTAGCAGAACAACCTGCTGCTCTCCTTGTGCACTCTGAGTAAGGATGAAGTGTATTTTTAGTGTGGTTCCACCCAGCAGAACTACAGACTCTGATGGCAGTCCTGAGGTTTGTGTGAAACCCTCACGACTGCACTACAGTGGGTGGAGTCCTAACATGACTCATGGGTTAGTAAATCTCATTTGAGCAGCTAACCAAACACATCGCTTTGTGAAGTGAACTGTGCTTGCTCTGCTCTCTGTTCTTAGGGAAGGTTTACTCAACAGCTAACTTTGACTATCTGCATTTTAATTAGTGCAGTCACAAGGCAGTGTAACAGGACAAATATTGTTAGTACCTAACAGACTTGGATCACTGCAGTATCCTGCTGGTTTGTTATACTTTGACCCACGGTTAAAAGCTGACCAGGTCTTGCTGCTTACTGAAAACTGTGGGAAAGTTGTGTTTTTTGTTTGTTTTTAGTTTTAAACTCTACTGGCTGAAATACAAAATCAAAAGCAATGTTTCATATCATTTGTGATGCAGTATGCCAAGCAGGACATATAGCACAGACAAGCAGCAATGCGTTTAGTGTCCTACATCACCAATAATAAATTACCCAAGGAAGTTTTAGCTGCACTGACAGCACCCAGTATGATGAGGTAGGTGAGAGAAAGTTCCTCTGGAGCAGAATTCTGTCCAGTATCATGTCTGAGAAGATACAAAGATATTACAAAAAGAGAAGCATGAGTTTGTCTCCTATTTCACTGACCTTGAATTTACTAACAGTGGGAGGTTGTCTTGACTCTCTGGGATTTAACACACTTTCCTAAATGCACTAGTAGCTGTAGTAACAAACCAAGAAGATTCTTTGAATACAGGGAGTGAAGCTAGATGACAACAATGGTTCCATTCCATTCTTTAGAAAAAGTCATTCCAGATAGTCTTGTTAACAAATACACATGCAACACATTTAACATTGGTATGGATTCTTCAGATGTATGCCTTTTTAGGACTTTTCTCTTGTGTTTTGTTTTATTTTTTTTTTCTTTCCATTTGATTATGAATATAGATGATTCCTTTCCTAAATAGTTCAATCCCAAACAATCCACTAAAACGAAGAGGAAGAATTCTGTTTTATACATGTATTTGGTTTCCATGGAAGCAGGAGTTTTAACATGTACCTGTCCTGAAAGAAATAAGCTTAACAGAGGTGAAGTATACTAGACATACACTGAAAATATCTCTTGAAAAATGCTGTGAGGATTAAATTCTTAAAGCTGTTCCTGACAAGTTCTGGGCAAACAAGGCAGCTATAAGCCCAATATTGCTGAAGATAGGTCATTTATTAGAATTTTTATACATTTCAGATGCTTTCCATTTGAAGTGGACTAGCATAGTAAATAATTACCGACCTATTTTCTGCTGCCTGCACTGCTCTTTTACAGACACAGAGAGCAGTGGTTTTACTTGGCAATTGGCATTCAAGTGCCACAGCAGGTTACAGCAGAAGACTGCTTGCATATGAGTGGTGTGTGAACCACTAATGCATGCATTTCATAGCAAAGTATGCAGAAGTTTTGAATAAATGCAATTAACCACTGCATAATATCAGGGATGGATCCTTCAGGAAGTGTATCATGCTGGTTAGAATATCTTACAAACACTTAGCTCCAGGGTAAAGGAAGAAATAAGTGTATCTGGTGCCTGTTCCAAATAGAATATGAATAAACATAACAGTAGATGTAAAAATAGAAACAAAACACCAAGTGTGCTGCTTCCCAGAGCAGTTAGTTGCCATAATTTATATTTCTTTCTAGGGAGAGGAGCGTGGTAGCCAGGACAGCCCTACCTTCATGCCCTCTGGGGACCTAGATCTTGTTCTCAAGTCAACCGATGCCTTTGATACACTTGGCCACTGCACTGGTCTGGTGGTCCAGACGACACGGCTCATCGCCTGCCAGCTCCAGGACTCCATCTAAAGCTTCATGCGCTTCTGAAAAATAGGTCTGACCTAAATCCACACGTGTTTGGGTTAATTTAATTGCACCGATGCCAAAGGGAAACCGCGATGCGGACTTTCTACTTCACGGGCCCGGTGCCCTCCGTGTGGGACGGCGCCCGGCGGCAGGGCTGCGGGATTGGGCGCTGCCGCCCCTGAACGCAGCTCCTCGCCGTTCCGAGGCAGCGCAGGGAACATCGCGGCCCTCAGCGAACCGGGGCGGGCCGGACGGCTGGCAGAAGGGGCGCCGCGTTAGCGGAGCCGCCGCCAGCCCGGTCGACTCTCGGGCGCGGCGGTGCTGCCCGCGGGGAGCGGGGCCGGGCCGGGGCGGACCCGGGGGCGGGGCGGGTCTCTCCCGGCCACACGGCCTCCATTTTGCGGTGTAGCTGCTGCAGAGAGGCCGGAGGCTCCGTGCTTTTCCCTCAGGTGAGGCGCCTGGGGGCGGGCAGGGGGAAGAAAGGCGATCAGCCCGGCGCCGCGCGCGCGTCCCCCGCTCCGGGCCCGGCCGCTCCCCGCGGGAGGCTGCGATGGGGCACGGCGGGACTCGGCGGCCGGCAGGTGCCCCGCCGGGGGAGGGCGCGGTCCGCTGGGGAGCGGGAACCAGGTCCCTCGCCGTCTCAGGGCAAGTACCGAGAGCGGTACCGCCTCCGCGCGGACGGCCGGCCAACAGAGCCGCGGCCCTGCGGCGAGAGCCCGCGGCGCTGCGTGACCGCACCGAGACGGGCGGCGGCTCCGGCCGCGGGCGGGGTCCTCCAGCCGCCGCAGGGCGGGATGCTGCCCGCGCCGAACCCCGCGTTACATCGCCGGAGTCGATCCCGTCCAGAGTCCCCGAAGCAAATAAAAACCGTCCGAACCTGCGATTCTGACGAGAAAGGTCCGCGAAGCCTCGGGATGGCGGCTCCCATTGCCCTCCGCTGCGGGACGCCGAGGGAGGGCCGGTATCGGTACCGGGCAGAGCCCGCCCCCCTGTCGGCTGTACGGGCGGCAGCGGCCTCTGCCCCGCTCCGCGGCTCTCAGGCTGAGCTCGGAGCGAGAGCAGGCGGTCCGAAATCAGGTACTGCTGTTGTGAATACGTGTATCTGTAAGACGGGATATGACGAGAGCTGCTTCGGTACGCGCTGCTGTCCGGTCGGTGCGTTCTGAAGGGACTCTGGGTCCTGCTGTCGGAGAAGCCCGTATCGCCATACGGCACTGTGCAGCCGGCTGCGGAGCGCCTGCAGGGACCGGGGCTGAAGTCCTTACCTGACCCCTTCACCACAGTACGTCTGACCAAGAAAACGCTGTCACTTTTCTGAGTTACAAACACAAGTAGTAGCAACTGGGGTCTTGCTAGAGCTGGTGATCACATGAAACGCTGCCAATCCCGGTGCCGGCCTCAAAACGCACCAGCAGTTACCCACGTCCCAGAAATGGAATCCACGCGGTGCCAGTAAGGAAAGAGTTAAGCACTGCAACAGGCCGTGTACGTCACAGGTGTGCACGGGTGGGTGATCTGCTAATCACAAATACCGCCTTCCTTGCAAAGGAGGCTTGGAAACCAGAATCCTAAAAAGCTTTTGTGCCAGAATTTGTTTGACAGCGAATGGGGAACATGGCTGAAAAAACTGACTTCATTCTACATTAAGTATCTCGTCAATCAATTTAAACACTGGTATGTTTCAGTACAGATAAAATACTGCTGGGTCCCACTTGTATACTAATTACACTTTGTACAGCTGTTGGAACAGCTGACCTGCAGCCACCGGCTGCTTGCTGCCTTACAAAAAGCAGTGTGAGCACAGGAGATGTGATACTGTGCACACCTGCCCGTTTTACAGGCTTCACCTTACTGCCTGCTTAACAGCGTGACTTTGATTGAATTACACAGAGCATAAGGCTGCAATAGTTTGGAGGTTTTTAATGGCCAGTTTTGCTGACACTCTGTTTTCCCATTGAGTGGAAAGAGTGACACTGAAACCCAAAGGAAGTGTTGGCAGTTGTCTTCTTCCTGAAGGGAGCTGCAGCCCATGGTTAAGTAACAGAAGTGGAAGAAATGTGTGGAAAGCCAGAATGAAAAGTCAATGCACATAGCTGTCAGTAGTAGATACTGCACAGGTACTGCCCGTGTGCTTCTTCTGAGGGAAACATATGGCAATTAGCAGTGTTTATGATTAAAGTGTTTACAGTTATGATTTCCAAGTACACCTCACACAGTTCTTCTCCCTTTCTTACGAAGAAAGCCCCCTGAAGCAGTTCTCCTGCTTTATCACTGTGAGACCACATGGCTGTACTTATCTACAAGATTGCTTTGGCTCTCATTTGAACTAACCTGCTCTAAGTTTTAATGTTTTCCACAGTAAGTCAGAGGCATTTAAGGCAGCATTTGTGGAATTAGTGGTACAACATAGCAAGAAGATGGCTTTCAGATCCATTTGTTTGCCTGTGTCCTACCTAGTTAGGTATAGTTAGAATTAGTATAGTTCTATAGTTAGAATAGTTAGTAACTGTATTACAATTCATTTTTGTATTTCCCATTTTCTTTGATTTGTGCAGCTAGGACACTGCCTCATAAACATGCAATGAGTAACTCCCAGTCCCTGTCTTCTTCTGTTTCTAATCCCCCAGTCCTTCTATTAAGAAAAGGATTGAAATAGTTATTAGCAGGAAACAGAAATCTCCTGCACAAATGAAGTAATGCAGGGGGAGTACAGTAAGATGTGGGGTACTGGGGAAGTAGCTGGGAGCTGAACTCCTGCCTGGATGCTTCCTCATTTTGGTGTTTTGTTTGAGCGTGAGGGCAGTAGTATTTTGAAATAACAAACAGAAATAATTCCATTGGCATAAAGTATTTGTAGGGAGGCTAAGATTGCTCTTTCTGCTCACGAATTTTGAAACAGCAGCTTCACTTATTTTGAAAGGATGTAAAAAAATGAAACAGATCCCCTCCCTTTCCAGCCAGCAGCTCTTGCACAAGAGACAACACGCCTGGAGCTGCTGTGGAGGTCGGTTCTGTGTGAGGCCCCCACCCAGCAGCTCCTCCACCTCTTTCCCTCTTCAGTTATGCAAGACAGGAATGCCTCACGGAGGCATTTTTTGGCAGAACAGTCACTTAAAGACTGAAAGGCCTGCAGGCTCAGGAAACAAGCACTTGAAAAACTTTTCTATGCCCTTTTCTTCAATTTATTGTATGTCACGTGTAAGTTTGTATTGTGCTAATATAAACCTTCATCTATAGTGTTATCTTCTTATGCTTAAATAAGCTCTTTGTATTAAAATTCAGATCTTTGCAAATGGTTTTCACGGTGCACTGACCAGCACTGGGCGCAGTTTAATTCTGCAGGAGGCACCATGTCATTACCATCAGGAAAAGAAACACTGAGTCATTTCTTATGTTTTGGAGACAGACAAATGTGGGATCTTAATAGGGACTCAAAGGTCAAAGTAATAGACGTGTGGCTGCTGAACCACCCTGGTCCTCCCACACTTGAGCTGTCCTGCTTACTTGTCATACTTGTTACAGCTAGCATCAATTCTGGCTTGTGTTATTCAAGAAGTTAGAACTTTTTAGTTTAAACCCCATTATTTGATCTTTGAAATAATTTTGGTGCATGTATCTATTTCATAAGAACAGCCAAAAGCAGGCAAAAGATACATTTCTATTAGATGGTTCTCTGTGGAATAGATCAAGTACTATTCTCCTCTCAGGAGCTATTCCTGTGAGTGAAGGGGCGCAGGCTGACAGGATACAAGCATGGAATTGAGCCTAACTCTTCCGTCTCTGTTCTGACACAGGCTCAGCCCCTTCCTGCTGAGACTTCACGCTCTGTAACCTGTATTTCAGAATTACTTTTGGAGGTTCAGCACTCTTACTGTGCTTCAACATATATCTGACCTAATTAAGGTAGCATGTAATTACAAAGTTGATGATGCTTCTCTTCTGAATTCTGCTTGCTGTTCTGTGTAAAAAAAAATAAAAAATAAAAAAAATAAAAAAAAAAAAAAGGAAAAGGTTTGTGGTTTTGTAGCTGATGAGTACTTTTAGCAACACTGAATGAAGTAACTGAGTTGCTCAAGTAACGTCACAGTTACTAAACCAACAAGTGGCAGCTACACACTCATGTAGTGACTGACAGGGAATTTTTTTTTTTCTTCCAGAATGTCATACCCAGGTTATCCCCCTTCTGGCTACCCTGCTTTCCCTGGCTACCCTGTAAGTATGGCTTTTACCTGTGTTGCATTCCCAGTGTATTTAGAGTCAACATCCCTTCTTACTGTATGCATGTAAATAGCAGCTGTTTTTATCCATATATCCATCTCTGAGTGTGACTTTACCTTTATCTCAAATGAACTCCAAGAAGGAAGTCTGATATATATTTTATAATATCGCCCGTTGTTCCAGAGGGTGGGTGGCTGCTTCTTGTTCAGGTTGTTACCTTGATGTTTTTAGTCATTTTCATTCTGTTTTGTTTTCTCATGCATATAGCTAACTACCTCAGCAAAATGGTGCTTTATTTATTGATTTATTTTTAAAGCATTGGTAATTGTTAACAAATATGAGGATCTTTAGGAACAGGGTATTGTCTGAACCAGTGTCTACCAAACCACCTGTATGCCCACATCCTGGCCATTTCGTTCAGGAGTAAAGCTGCTGAGCAATCCAAGCTCAAGAACCCAGCTTTCCCACAACACTGAGTAAATATTTTTCTGAGGATATTGGACACTTTAACTTGACTTTGACCCCCAGTCCTTCAGCCACAGTACTTTATTCCACCTTCAGTTCATGACTGAATGGACTGAAAACTCCAGTGAAACTGGAAGGCTGGAATGTATCAGGCATGGTTGATGGTGCAGTGTTTTGTTTTGTTTTTTTTCAAAGCTCGACACAACTTCGTGCTTTAATTAGTAAGGCACTGAGCATAACGTAATTGTGGCAATTCTATTTATGTAGTACTCGACTAGACTTAAAATGGAGCTCAGCCTATGTCCCATAAGATAGTGAAAAACTCAAAGTATATGCAGTAAATTCTTCAGTTATTTTGCTTTGCAATTTACCCAGACTCCCTCTGAAACACCAAAGTCAGTCAGACTAAAGAGATAACCGTGTCAGAAGCCAGACTTTCTTAACTTTGGGATTTCTTTACCCCATTCAACGTTCTGCTGAACCCTCACAATTGTCTCTGTTCATTGCAAGGGAGTTGGACTACATGACATCTAAGGTCCCTTCTAACTCAAATGATACTATGATAATTTTTTAAGCCGGCATCTAAAATCTAGCAGCTTCGGTTCACGAATTTAAAAGACCAGGTAGATGCCAGAGTAGCCATGCTAGGTTTTCTAGTCTACAATAGTGCAAGAAATCAATGTGAAATTATTTTCTGTAATATTGATAGTCATCCTAGCAGGCCTAGGGGATCCTAACCTTGGATTTGCAAATCTAAATCCTATTAAAATCTTTTTGTTGAGTCTGGCTGAACAAGGTTAGACTGCACTACTGGGGAAGGGGATCTTCCTGGGCACAATGGTGTGGTGATGGGGATCTTGGGACAGCCAAACCTGAGGAAAACCTTTAAGCTAGATTTTACTGCTAGGGAGATGCATCAGAGGACCCAGCCAGAAGGCCCGTGTCTAGGTTTAGGGAATGCTGCTGCTGCTCCTAAGAGCTAAACCTAATCACGTTATTACACATATATGGACATTTTAGTAGCTTGAGTTTTCACTCTGTAATAGAGTACAGACATCTCGTGGGTTCTTTGTATTTCAGCCCACAGGACAGGAGTCTGTCTATCCGCCCGCTGGGCAGTACACCTACCCTGCTGCTCCTGGAGGATATCCTCCAGCAGGAGGAGGGAGCTTTCCTGCAGCACCACCCAGTGCTGGGTATCCAGAGGCAGGAGGATATCCTGCCCCAGGGGGCTTCCCTGGAGCTCCCCAGGCTGGAGGAATGCCATCTTATCCTGGAGGTAAGATCCAGCCCTTGGGAGTTATTTCTGTTGTAACCAAGTCTTTGTGCTCGGGAAAGTAGTAAAGAAAAGCAAGCGATTGTTCAGTGATCAATTTAGGCAGCAGTGTCTAGACAGCCGGATTGCTACCTACCAAGAAGTACCTGCATGCTAATAGCAGAGTTTTGATGGCTTTGGGTTGTGAGCCACTGCACAGATAGAGAGAAAAGAAACAATCTCTTGTGCAGCTCAATGCCGTGGCTCATGTTGTGCCAGAAACCAGAAATGCTGTGTGCTAAAATCTGTTATCTGCTCCTAACTCCCACAGGCCCTGGGTTTGGCGTGCCTCCCACTGGCCCTGGCTTTGGTGGCTATCCCCAGCCTCCTGCCCAAAGCTATGGTGGAGGTGGACCAGCACAAATTCCTGGTATGTGGATGTTTCCGTGCCATATGTATTATACGTCAAGAATCCAAGGCTAAACCAAGAGATCCCAAGATAGATAGTAAGAAAAAAAAAAATAGGCCCTTACCTTTGTTACTGTTAGCCATTGAGGTCTGTAAGCTGTGCGTGTCCTCTCACCTTTCCTGACAAATGAAGAGCAGGTGAGAATCACCTTTATGTGCTGCATTCAAAGGGGATGGCTGTCAGTGCTTAACGATCGTGATGTAATTGGTTAGGTCCTTATCCTTCTTCAAACTGCACTTATCTGACCAGAAATGTTAAATTGGGAATCCACACTCAACAGATATCTGGCAGTTCTGCTCATCTCAGAGACATGGATATATTTTTCAGGAACCTGAGCAGATATGTGTTCACAGTGATCCCAGGAATTACGAGGGAGTGGAAAGGAGAATGCACACTGTTGCTTAAACCCAGTGCATTGTTCTTCATGCTTTGAAGTTACCATCAGTTACCATCAAAAACATTTTTGTCCTGGGATGTCAGTTGCGTCTGCAAGAAATTCAGAGCAGCAAACTTTCTTTTAATGATTGCTTCACTGACTTTAATAATTAAGCTGCCATTAAAACAAGAATAACTGTGCATATGCACTATAGATAAAAATAAAATACCAGTTTTAAAAAGTGGTTGCATCTTTTGTATTCACAATGATTTTGAACATGAAATGAGATTTCTTCAGTTCTCGCACCAGTGAATTCTCAGCATTTGTTGTTAATATGCTGTAGACATTTTAACATAAATAAAATGACTCTGCCAGAGAGCACGGGACGTGCATTCCTCATTTGCATGGATCATCTTGGCTTTCATCAATGGCAGCCATATTTAATAAGGAGAGATTCTTCCAGCTCTCACAGCACCAGTAAATTTAGCATTTTTATTAGTGCCTCACTAAAGTATCTACCAGAATGCTTCGTGATTGCTTCTTCCCACTGTTCTCAATGGCAAGAGCTTCAGTTATAGGTATTGTTACTTAGCACATAGGTTATTGCTGTGGTAGACCTGTAACTTACCATGTCTATAAATGGTTTTACTTTCAGCTTAAGTAGCGTTCATATAATAAGAAGAAACATAATTAATCTATTTATCTTGCTATTTAATTCATTTTCAGTAGGCTATCCTGGTGGACAAGCACCATCACCGACGCCTGGTCCGGTATGTGCTGTGTGCTCTTTTATCTTAATATAATAAGATCTTAATGTTGCTTCTCTATTTTTTTCACCTTGCTGTTAGTGGGCGATTGGGTGTATGGCAAATATTAGGGAGGAGGCCTGAATACGAGCTGGGGATGCGTCACAGACAAACAGGCACTGATGGCTGAAAATGTATTCTGATATTAATAAAGGTTGTTTAATAACAGTCCCTCATTTTGTCCCCAGTGCAAGGGAGAACTGCTATTAGAGGCAGTTCTGGGCAAAGGGGAACTCAGGTAATACAACCCTGAACGTCACTGCAGCACTCAGGTTGTCTATCATAGAATTGCAGAGGGGCTTTCTGCTAAAGGGAAAAAAGGAAAAAAGAACAAAACAGAGTATGCATCTTGCCATGCAGAAAAATAATTGATTTGTTGACATTGCTTTCAATAGGATTCCGATTTACTCTATAATTTGAATAATTAATTGAAAGTAATAAAATGTAAGCTGTCATGTATTTGCCTACAGGCATTTTAATACAGCGTTTCTCAATGAGTTTGATATGAAAGGGTATGAATTGGTCCTACATTATCAACTGTTTAACAATGACAAACTTTCCTTTGGTGTAAAAGCAGCAATGAAGTCATTGCAGAGTTCCTGGCCACACTCAGAATACACCCCAAACAAAACCATCAGTCAGTATCTCTGTATGCTCAACATGCAGGCCTGCATAAAGGCATTGCTCTGGCAGTGGTGGTCGACCAAAGCTGTTCAACACAACTGTCACCCTGATTTTGTGTCAGAGAAAAACGGTGAGCCAGCAGAACAAGTGGAACAAACCATTCTGTGACTCCTCCCTCTGAAGTACTCACTGCTAAGCAGTTATTTAAAGTTGAATTAGTATTGTGCAGGATAGCTAGTTATACATGGCTTTTGTTTTCAGCCTGCAGCAATGGCTCAGTACACTCAGGGCACAATTCAAGCTGCTCCAAACTTTGATGCTGGAAGGGATGCAGAAATTCTGCGCAAAGCTATGAAGGGTTTTGGTAAGTAAGCAACAGGCATTACATTTGTAACGTGTTAATGCCATTTAGTGCTTCAGTTTGTATCTAACCATAAAGGTATTCATTTTTCCAAAAGCTCATCAAAAGTCGCACCAAAAGAGATTTAGTAGAAATCTCTTTGCAAAGAAAATTTGGTAAACAGACTTAAATGATGTTCATGCACTTATTATATAACTATGCAAAAATGTGAGATTAAAAAATGCACTGCCTTAGATGGATTATTACAAGGTCTCCCATTGCTGTTCTGTTTCCAAGGGACTGACGAGAAGGCTATCATTGATGTTGTATCTAACCGCTCCAATGACCAAAGGCAAAAAATCAAGGCAGCTTTCAAGACGATGTATGGCAAGGTATGTTCAGTAAACAAAACCCATCATTTCAGCTGATGTGTAACTGCCAATTGCATTTTAGTCTTGGAGAGTGGTTTGGGGCATTTATTAAATGCACCTCTTTGGGTTATATTTTTCACTGCATACCATGTAGACACCTGGTATTTGAGTGTTGTGATACCTGGTAGAAGTGAGGGCATACGGCAGTCTGGCAAGGTCCCTCAGCAAAGCAGAAACTTTTCTGAGTTGACAGTACTAAGAAGACAGAAATTAATTGAGATTAAACTGTCTTACTGTATGATGTTCCTGAGGTTTTGTGCACAAATATTAGTGCTGAAATAACTTTTTTTTTTCCACTAAAAAGCCAACTGATAAATTGGTTGAGGATCACTGCTAAGGCACAGCGCGCTGGAGTAACTCAGCTCCATGCCATTATTGCTGTAACTCTGCTCACCTGAAAATTGCAGACCGTCTACTCCTGTTGCCCCCTTTATGATACATAATGGAAGGTTCTTTTCCAAAGGAGTCTGTCTTGCAGACACTTGCTTTCAAATCATTTCTTTTCTGTGCTTTTTGCTGTTACATTTTTATCTGCTTAGTAGCACTGCTCTGAAAGAATCACAGAATCCTTAAAGGTTAGAAAAGACCTTGAAAATCAAGTCCAACTGTCAACACGTCACCACTGTGCCCACTGATCACATCCCTCAGTGCCACATCCCCACATCTCCTGTAGGGACAGCGACTCCACCACCTCCCTGGGCAGTCCATTCCTGTGCACTGCTGCTCCTTCAGAGAAGAAATTTTTTATAATGTCCAACTTGAATCTCCCCTGAAAAAATCAGCTCTTTCCCCACCGGGCCGAACTTGTTGGTTCGTATCTAAAATACGATAAGTAATTCTGCAAGTAACTGGAGCTGTAGGGTTGGAAATACTTGATGCAGGAAGGAACTGAACTCAGCGCTCCTTCCTCAGTGAGCACTCCAGTCACTACAGAGTTACGGATGTGTACTGCTATCTGTTTTACCAGTATTCTCAAAGAGGGGAGTGATGGTGCTCTTGGTGGCTATTAGGGATTCTCAGGAGATGGATAACAATGTAATGTACTGTAGCAAACAAAAGCAGAAGCTCATCAGCTGCTCTAATTTGGGGGTGTGTGTGAAAATTTGTGCCACTTGAACAATGTGTTAAAGTAATTTCTAACTCCCATATTATATAACAATGCCCTTTTTGTGTTTCTAATTGGACAGGATTTAATTAAAGACCTGAAGTCTGAATTAAGTGGAAATGTGGAAGAACTGATCCTGGCACTCTTCATGCCTAGAACCTACTATGATGCCTGGAGTTTACATCATGCAATGAAGGTATGGTTCTCCTGTGAACAAAATAGTTCAAAACCATCTAAAAATGCTCATTCAAGAAAACAAAATACCTGATCTCTGCACTGTTGAAAAATCCTGTGGAAAACAAATCTAGGGACTGTTGAGATTAGAATTCTTCTCTGCTGCATGTGCCAGTACTGCAGGATTGGTCAGTTTGCAGCAGCTGTCCAGCAGGGAATGAATGCTGCACGATTGAATTTTATTCTCTGCCCCTCTCTTGGTCATTCTTTTTGCTAGAACCTAATGAGAGCCAGAGTTCTTTTAACCAATAAGCACTGTTTACACTGAAGTTGCATACCTCTCCCTGCTGGAAACAAGCCATAGCTACTAACTGATAGTTTTAGATAACCTGATTTTTTTTTAACAGGACAAAAACGAAGGAGTATTTTCTTGAGGTCAGGGGATGCAAGTATCTCTTTGGGTGTTAAATCCACATTAGGGGTTAGGTGAGCTAGCTGATTTAACCTTCTAACTCAGGTAAACTGGTACGTCCAACTTACCTGAATTCCTTGCTCGAGTGGCAGCAGCTAGCAGGTGGCTGACTACTGGAAACAAGTCACTTAACTCAGATAGCAATGCAGATCTCTAAAGAATATGGAGCACAAATGAAGATCTAGCTTTAGTGGGAGCAAGACCCACACAACCATTTAAAAAAATTAACCATGTTACAGTACTACTTAGAAGGTTCATATAGATTTAAGCCTACGTAATCCTTGCTCGAATAGTGATGGTCATGCCAGCGGATGTGTCTGTACTCAGAACCCCCAGTTAAATTCTATCCTGAGGAGATGAAACCAGCTATGAAAAGTTTCTGCTGGTCCTCCATGCAGAGGAACCAGTCACCTTTGGAATAAGAAACGCACCTTCACAGTATTTACATGCATATGTCTGACTTTAAGGGCTATCAGAAGGCTCTGCCTTCCTCCAATATGTTCCCAGAATAAGGTTGCCAAATCATTTTTTCATTTTCTTCTTAAACCTACACTCTGTTACCTATGGCTGACATTGCCATAGTAGACAGGGTATTATTTTAAGCCAGTGCAGAACTGAGCATTTCAAAAATCTTCATTCCATGTTCAGCATTTGGTGAACTTGGTGCTTTCACACCAACTAGAATATTGTTCTTACAATAGGAATCGTATCCTCTTTTACAATAACAGCTGATTGCTTATTTTTACAGTCAAACAAAATGAAGTAGGTAGTGCTTTGTAGTTATGCCTTCTTTTGTTTTGCCTACAGGGAGCAGGCACGCAGGAGAGAGTGCTGATAGAGATCCTTTGCACAAGGACAAACCAGGAAATACGAGAAATAGTGAACTGCTATAAATCAGAATTTGGAAGGGACATCGAACAAGACATCAGAGCAGACACTTCTGGACACTTTGAACGGTTACTTGTATCTATGTGCCAAGTGAGACAATTTTTATTTTTAAGACATACACGTGCTTTCCTTGCATATATCCATAATTGTTCCATAAATGAATTGCCTGTGCCTGCTTAGCCAGAGACAGAAGCCAGCCCTAGACTAATTTCCTTTCTAACAAGATAAAACACCTCAACTCCTCCTCAAGGAAGAATTCCTTCTTATCTATATGACAGATTGAGCGACTTAATCGAGCACTCTGTATTCCCCACAGAAGACCTGTGTAAATACTTTGAGCAGATGCAATCAAATAGCACATGCTACAAGCAGTGCTCCATGCTGCTGTTAAAGCCAGGTGCTTTTCTTCTTTTTTTTTTGCGTAACATTATTTGGGTAATTTTGTTAGGATGACCTTTATAGCACGTAAAATATCTGTGAGAGTTCCCTCAAACAAAACAGTACCTTCCAAATCACATTGTAACCCTCCCTTCAGATAACCAGCAGTACACGTGTGCTACCACTACACTCCTGTGAACACTGAAGGCTGCTTATCTCATGTTATTTACTGGGGCTCTTTTTGTATTGAAGAACAGTAACTTGCTGTTATCCATGTTTAGAAAGAAATACACAGCACGTGCAACTTCCCACATTTTTCTGATACACCTGCCTTGAATTTCTACGACTCTTCTCTACTCTGTTTGCTTCTACCTTTATGAGAGTTCAGCTATTCACCAGGCATTTGCGTTACAAAATCAAAGTCCACAAGAAAGCAAAGCTTGAAGCTCATGCTAATTTTTATTTTGATAAATCCAGTACAGTAACTGACAACCACATAATTTAAATATTATATTAACAGCTACAGACACAGTAGTATTTAAGAGTGTGTATTTAGCCTACTCAGCCAATACATTTAGCAGCATCCATCCATGCACTGTGCAGCAAGAATGCAAATCCCAAAGCGCATAAAATGTCACATAAGCCCTACTTGACATATTACAACTATAGTAAGTATTTTCTGGATACATTCATAGTTGCAATTAGCAATTCTAAATATAATAGAGGACCTGAGATATTTCAGGTGTGCATATTCAGAAAGGTAATTCATTAGTTCATTTAGGAAGATTCATTGCAACTTGAAGCCTAGAAACAAATCAAGAGAAAGCTTTCATTATTAAATAAAATAGAGAATTGAGTGCAGTTCCTGAAAAAGACCAGATGAAAATGTTTTTATAGGTGAAGCAACATATGAGTGTGTATGTACATATATACAAATACACACGCAGTATATCCACAGTTTAAACCAAACCCTACTGACAAAGTTTTGGGCCACAATTGTATTTTTTTCTAAGAAATATTAATCCAAATAATAGTTTTAAAGCAATGTAATGTATTTCTCACTGGTATCACTCATCCTACTTCAAGCTTCGGAGATACACGCTTGGGGTCTGTACTCCAAGCAGGGAAAGCACAGCTTCTCTGTGCTACTTCATTTGACTTCTGCTAACCTTGCTTTTAGGGTAACCGGGATGAGAATCAAACCGTGGATTATCAAAAAGCTCAAGAAGATGCTCAGCGTCTTTACCAAGCAGGTGAAGGAAAACTCGGGACGGATGAATCTTGCTTTAATATGGTGCTGGCAAGCAGAAGTTTTCCCCAGTTGAGAGCAACAGCTGAGGCGTATTCCAGGGTAGGAATTCTTCACTGACTTCAAATGAGTTTGGTCAGCATATTTTGAATTGAGGTTCCACATGTTGCTGCATTTTGTGATCCACAAGTTAATCTCATTTATTTGTAGATTGCTAATCGTGACTTAGCAAGCAGCATTGATCGAGAATTTTCTGGAAATGTGGAACGTGGCTTGAAGGCTATTTGTAAGTGATACTTTCTTCCTTACTCTTATCCCCTAAGAATTTAATTTTCTAAAAGTAATTGAGGAAGAATCCAATTCAGCACTGGTCATATGGCAAATGAATATACAATCTGAGACTCTATTACTACAAAAGTAACTTTAATTATTCAGATTATTCACTTTGCACTTGGAGGAAACAGACATCTAGCTGGGGGTTTGAAGCCAGAGAAGATTACACAGAAACTACTTGTCTAGAAAGACATGTGACTACACAGAAGCAAGGGACACTGCTTAGCACTGGTGGTTCTGTGTTTCAGAGCCCTGCAAAATGAAGCCAGTGCCACTAACAGAGGCAGAGATAGCTGAACCACTCCACATGTGATCTCAGACCCACCATGAAGCTACTTTTAGGCATGGTTCACTCTACAATCCTCTGCCACCTGCTACCCCTGAAAAGCTCAACATTTCTGAGGAAAGCATTACCAGAAGAGAAGACCTGTTCTGATTTCACTAATCCCTGCCAACTTATAGAAAAGCATTTCAAATTTGTTATGACTTCTGACAGGATCAGTATGAGTTACTGAAGTGAAACCAGTACTCTGCACACCAGCTCTACCACTGTTTACCAAACTGACAGCATTTCTGCAGCCATAGTGATTAAAAGCTATCATACTAAATAAGTTCTTCCCAGACTATATTCTACTGAAGTTCTGCAGGAAAAAATGATCCCTGAGGATCACATAGAAGAAAAAAACAGTAAAAAAAATCTAACAGATTTAGCAGACTCTGTAGCTATTTGTGAATGAAAACTATTTACTTTTGTACTTTTGTTACTGGGGACCTAGCAATGGAACACCAGTAAAAGTACTCATATCCTGGTACCAGCTATGTAAGGAAAAGAACTGGAAACAACCTGTTTGAGAATTAAGGTTTCAGTCACCTGTAAAAAGCACTTTCAGAAAAATTAACTGGTAATATCTACAACTTTTCTTGTGAAGTAATAACTCATTTGTTCAGCTTCAAAATAAACCCACTTTAGCAAAACAGTTACTGTAATCCAGAATAACAGAATCTGTATTGACAGCTACCTGCAGCTGACTACAACATAAATCCTGAACTGATCCTGCCAGTATCACTGTACAATACTGGAACTAATCCTAAGAATATACCTTATTGCAGTGCAATGCGCCTTCGATCGCCCAGCCTTTTTTGCAGAAAGGCTTTATCATTCTATGAAAGGAGCTGGCACAGATGATTCTACCCTCATCAGAATTGTAGTCACTCGCAGTGAGGTAAGAAACCTTCTCCTCTGTAGCCTTCCACTCCCTGTGAGGTCTATCTTCTCTAACCACCTTTTTATGCAGTCCTTCTTTCACAGCTTGTAGCAATTATGCATTGCAGTAAAGCTTCCATCCATTTCAGATTTAGATGAACAAAGTAATTTGTTTTGAAGATAGGTTTCATAGAATAATTTAAGTCTCTCTGGCTAAATAGCAATGCTGCTTGTCTTCCTTCCTCACTGTGGTTGTTTGCCCATGTAGCAGAAAAGTATCTCAACTTCAACTCTATGAAGTTAGGATACTACCATACTACCAAAGCAAGGAACAAGCCAGCCTCTGCTTTGGGAGCAGCTGTAGAGGGACCAGTTGGCTTGTACAAATTACAGAACTGATCAGTTGCACACTGCACCCTTGACTTGTGTTCAGCGTGAGGAAAGAGATGCACACTTATATCTAGGAGTTAAAATTATACTTTGTATTTAAGTCTCACACTTTCTTTTATCTTCTTTGCACAGATTGATCTGGTGCAAATTAAACAGAAGTTCACAGAAATGTATCAGAAGACTCTGGCTACAATGATAGCAAGTGATACAAGCGGCGATTACAGGCGTTTGCTACTGGCAATTGTTGGTCAATAGAAGACAGTTACCTGGTTGTTTGTTTTCTTTTTTAAAACAAACCGAAGGACATGTAACATGCTTCATGCAGACACTGACTACTCTTGCGCGTAAAAGAATAACATATAATCAAACACGCCTTCTTGGTGATTCATTAAGCTTTTTGCACTTACACTTGCCTTAATTTACAGCACATATTACTCTTTATTGTATAATAAAAGATATATCTTGTCTACTAGCCCTAAGTCTTAGGTTTGTTTGTTTGTTTGTTTTACCCAGACAAAACCACCTCCCCTCTTACAAACTCCTGCATAATTACTTCCTTGAAATCTCTAAACTTAACTACAGAGCTAACTGCGATGACAAAAAAAAAAGGTTCTCTAATAAGAATTCTTTTCTGTCTTCCCCTCCTAACGCTGAAAAAAGCAGCAAGTGCTCAGTTTAAGTCACACTGTACAGTTTAAGCACCTTGGCAGAAGATGACTATGCCTTCTCTATGTAAGTTCTTAAATTAGTTATGATTAGGAGGTAGTTAGCATTGTGCTTAAGGCAGCAATAGAAAGGAGAAGCAATTTCAAATCTAATTTTGAAGTATCGCCTTGTAAAAAAGTGGGTTATATTGTTCCTTCATTGTTCAGTAATTTGGTGTAAGCAAACACTAACACTACAGAGCATGTGTTAATCCAAGTTGAAAGTGACAGCAACACACAATACAAATGATGCAGCAATGGTTTCAGAGGATTAAGGAAAAAAGAAAACCAGCTTTGAGTAGTGCATTTGTTTTTATAGAAAACCACGCTGAATCTGTCCCCAGCCGTAAATTTAATGGAAACATGAAGTCCAGCAGCTAACAATGAGTTTCCTAACATTTCTAAGCAATGCTTTAACTAGTGAATATCATATATAGGCCTCACACACAAAAAGCAAAGCTCTTTTTTTCTTACCCCTCTAACAAAACCAGTAGCAGCTGGTAGAATCCATTCTTATATGGCAAATCTTTCACTGTACACACGTACATAAAAGTATTTGTAAAACAGTAACAGGTAAAAAAATCCACCATGCAAAAATCCCTCAAGTATTTTCACTTCTATTAAACATTCAGCATTATGTCTGCCACTGAACTAAATGTGAGCAGACATTGCAAACTGGGCTGCCTTCCTGGCTCAGCTCAGCAGGTGGCAGCAAGTATCTCAGCAGCACAAAGCTCTATTGAACAGGAGGCCAAAAAACCATCCTCAAACACGTTCTGTACTTTCAGGCCTGCTTTTCAGATTCGCTAAAATGCATTCACATTTCTCAGAACAGCCAGAACACCTCCCCACCCCCACCACCTCCCAACTCTTCTCCTTGCAGACAGCAGCGCTGCAGAAACCACAGCTCTTTGCTTTGCTGTTGCATCCGTGGGCTGGCAGAGCTATTGCCAAGCATTTCCCCCTCCCCACTGAGAACAGACTAACGCTAAGGATATGCAGAACCTTCCTCCCACTTAAAATCCTGGAAGCGGAAAACAAAGCGAAACAACTTACAGTTTTCTGAGAGGCAGGATACCTTTTTTTCCTCTTCAACAATGCAAGAATTAGAGACAGCTCCAGACTCTACCTTTCAGAAACAGCAGCAAACAAGGAGGGATTACTTTCTAAACAGAAAAAGCTCACAGGCACAATTCTTTTACCTGACTACTTGCTTAAAGGCTGACAGAATGTACACTGTATGACAAACAGCTTGACAATAACTTGACAATAACATTTACTGCACCTCTACCCTCATATCTGGCAAACACTGCTACTGACAACAGCTGGAAGGGGATTCTCAGGGAGGTGAGCAGAGCTGTTGCACAGCAATGCCTGCCACATGAGAGCCAGTTCTCTGTCAGACAGCAAGGCCTTTTCTCACAAAGACTTGTATTTTCTCTGCGCATACAATTTGAGCTAGCCAGAACACTGAGAATGAAGACTGCAGTATCAAACCATGAATATGCGGTCTTGGGAAATGCTGTTGGTGCTTAGGAGGAAGGTCCCATCACAATGCTCACTACGTAAAACCTGGGCTGTACTGCACCACCAGGTGGCTGTTCTGCTCTGACACACTGCACACAGACTGCACAGCTCACGGCTGTGGGTTTCAGAAAAAAACCAACTTACCATTTGTTAACTTGAACTTCTGCGCACAGACTTTGAGAACAGTTTCCAGTTACAACGCATCTGCAATAAAGTAAAAGCAAACATTAAAACTCCATTAGTGTCACATCAGTTGCGTTCTCATCTCGCTCAGCAGCTTGTCCTACTTACAGAGAACACACGAAAAGCCCTAAATCAGGTATCTGCCTCGACTGTCGAAACAGCCCCATCCCACCCCCAGTGCACCCAAGGCTCCACCAGCACCATAGCCCTCAGCTCAAAGTGACACACGTGGGACATGGCCGTTCTCATGGCTGCACTACCCAGCAATGGAGACTGGCAGACAGAAGATGCTCAGATATTCAATACATGAGAAATAACGATTAAAAAAAATGAAATAGAATAGTATTTACGTTAAATGATTTCTCCGCAAGCTAAATCTCACCTCGTTGGCTATTCCTTCAATAGCTTAGATTTGGAAGAGCATTTCTAACCAATTTTCAGGGTCAGATGAGACCCCAGTATGCCAAATAAAACCAATACACAGGGATAGGAGCCGCAGCCCATGCACAAAATTTATTGTGTGCTACTGTTTATAAAATACTTGAATAGTTCAGAACATGCATAAAATTCCAACTCAGACGGGGTATGTACAGATCGTACTTCATGGCAAACAAAAAAAGGAGATGAACTCTAGTGACATAAGTTTCAAGTTGTGTTCCAGGGGATGAGAAGGACACGTAGCAAATGTCAAAATATTAACAAAGTACAGTGGCAATCAGTACAGTCCATTATTTGTGAACAAATTAGCACAGGGCTTCAATTTTTATTTTAACCAAGCAGTCCTGTAGATATCAAAATACATGCAGTCTCGAGTTTACACTTTCACTAATGCCTTAGCAGTTGAACAGAGCAATTGATTACGCGCTGCTTCGCCTAGAACAAAACCTATGTCCGATACAGTTTCAGTTTCCTTTACAGCTTAAAAAATAATGACAAGCTTGCAGCTATTCAGCCCAGTGATTACTAGCTACTTATGCAACCGCAGTACTCACGATAAACTAAAAGTACCCATAACATCTACGTAACCTATAGATGTACAGCATAGGTCTATATATTAAGTATTTGCAAAATGAAAACATGCATACACAAAATACAATGCCAAGCTTTACAGACTTGATATGAATCAAAATTTACTTAAACAATGTACAAAGTTCAATTAAAAGTACCTTAAAATTAACACTCCCATATTTTTCTTACTTTTAAAATTAGTATATATAATTTTTTTTTTCTTTTTTTTAAAGTTCAAGGTGGGGGAGAGTCTTGAAAAAGCTGGGCAAAAATGTTTCTAAATTAAATATTTTTTAAAATCTGTGTTCAAGTAATAAACATTCCTACATAGAAATCTTCCAATAAGCTGTAACTAAAAAATACAGTGAATACAATATAGAATCAGCAACATCTAAGGAGTAAACCTGAGGTCAGCTTTTTACAGAATGACCAACTGAGATTTTTTTTGGCATTTTTTTCTATTTAAAATACAGTTTTTTTTTTGCAGCCTCAGAAATTTTAAGACCATTCTAATCTATTGTTTTAAAGACAATTCATGAAACCGATGTCCATTAATAAATAGTTAGCTCTTAGGGTCGTATCTGAAAGTCTGATTTAAAAAACAAACAAACAAACAAGCTACCTCTACTGAAAGAAAAATCCCATTTGTAAACGTAAAGTGTTGACAACAACAAGCATAAGACACTAGTCTAGGGGTGCTTTAGTGATAACAGCCCGCTGCCTTCCTCCCAGCTCTTCTGCAGACGCAGCAGCCTGAATACACAAAGGATGCTCCCAGGAGGTCGGTCACCACGTGAAGAGAGGGGCTGTTGTCTCAAAGCACGATGCTGTTCTTCAGCAGGGTCAGGCAGATGGTGCTCCACCTCCTGATAAGTAGTCACCTCGCTGACCCCCCTGGCTATTTCGTCTGTTGTCACATCAAAAAGCAGTAATCTAGGAATTCTCAGGCAAGACATAAGTGAGTAAACCAGAAGTTGACGTGGTCACTGTGCATTGTTGTTGCCAGTTCCATTGTTTCCATTGGCATTTGTTGTGTTTATAGTATTAATACCATCTTGCTGAAGAGCATCTTTTCTTGGTGGCATTCTCTCATTGATCCTATCCAAACCTTTTGCTTCTTCAAAACTGCAGATTTTATGTTGCGGAGAGAATCCTCGTATTGCTTAACAAAATGCAAATTTGATATGTCAGTAATGGAAAAAGAAGTCGAAAGCATATACTTTTTCTAATAAATGATGCTTAAACACAGGTAGGAAATCAGCCACGTAAATGTATGGCTCTGTATCTGTACTAGTAAAAGCTGCTCTAAGTTGCTCTCCTGATACACTCAATGGCTCTCGTGACCTGAGTTTATAACAAAAGGCACAGAGTATGGCAAATATTCAGCAAGGAGGAATCAAGGTGCTTAAGCCCACTTGATTGCTTCTGCATGTCTCTGGGGTGGCTGGCTCTGAACACCCTTTGCTCCCGCTGCCAAGCTCAGCTTAACATCCCTATGTCTCAGGGGACTGCCAGTGAGATGCAAGCAGCACAGCGAGTGCAGCGGAGGCAAAGAAGCAAAGGGTCACAAAAGTAATCAGAGGTTTACGTCCAGCATACACATTGATGGCCTGATCCTGCGGTTTTCATGCAGGCAAAACTGCAGGATATGGGTCACATTCTGTGCTAATCACGTGGATGATGGAAATGGACACGACCACAGTCACTGGGTTAGCACTGTGTTTAACAATGGTGCCATCTAAATACATACGTATTTAAGATGCATATAGAAAACAAGTATTATTTTTCTACTGATTATTTTAGTGAACGAGGTCTGTAGTTTACTTCAGACCTGAAAACAGCTAACCACATGGTAAGACTGAGTTCTTTGGGATGGAATAATTCTTTGGAGACATGAGCACAGCTTTCACTCACAACAACGGAACATCTTACATGTGTGTGAGAGAACAGAATACGGCCCTTGTTTATAGTTTTGGAGATCTGACTTCCTTAATTAAAAAACAAATGATAAAGTTATTAATCAGTGCTTCACAACCAAATCTGAAAGCAC